ATCCCTTAGCTGTGGGACATTGGGGGAAGGGCCAGGGATCGAAACCTCCGTAAATTTTTCGTTCTCCGGGACGATGCTTTTTTTTTTTTTTTTTTCCCCCCCCCCCCCCACACACACACACACAAAAAAAAAAAAGGCGACGGCCTTGAGATATTATGACCGGCCCGAGGTAATTCAGAATTACTGTATTTTATCCTGTTCATCTGATTGCATCTGGATTCGAACTTGGGTCTGATTCATATTTCAACAGAGTTCATTGGGCGTACCAACTGAGCTTGGCTTGGCTCTTTTTTTTTGTTGACGATGCAATTTAGACCAGCGCGACAACTCATGCACCTTCCTGGGCAAGCTTGGCGCCCGCCACCTAGAGATATGCCGGTGGTGGTCCCCCCCGAGTGGCATTAAAAAGCAGTCTCTGCTGATGTTGGTAGGGGGAGGGGACCACCACCAGAGGGGAGGCACAGTGACTGGCCCATCGAAGAAGCTACTGTAGGTCCTGATGCTACCGGCTGACCACCCCCTGGCCAGTATCGCCCACCTGCTGTGAACCTGCTGTAGCAGGGGTATGCGCACCTGCTGGTGGGTGCAGCAGCTCCCGCGGATGTTCCCTCGTTGGAGGCTTGAGCACGGATGTGGCTGCTAAGGGGTTCCACGTAATAATACTATAATGACAATAAAAAGGAAGGCCTGAAAGGCCGTCCTGTCCAGATTCGACAGGTAATTGAATTGGTTGGGCTTGAAGAATTAGCCTTTGAAAAAATAAAGAAAAGAATTCGGTAAGCTGACGTGGACTCAAGTGGAAGGCGGTGGAGGGGAGGAGGCACGGGAGGCGTGGAACGTCAGCAGATTGGGGTTGATGGGAAGGAGGATAAGGGAAAGGGAGGAGCGCGAAGAGAGTTTTCTCCTCGTGGACGAGTAATCAGCCGCGTCGCGCTTCGGGGGGGGGGGATTGATCGATCAGGAGATGGCAATAGATGCAGCATACTAAGTATATAAATCTCATAGATAGATGATAAACAATGTGCTGATAAACAATGTGCTCATGGAGGGAAAGAGGGAGAGAGGAAGAGAGGGAGGGAGGAAGAGAGGGAGCCAGCGAGAGCGAACGCGAGCGAGCGAGAGACACAGACAGAGACACAGACACAGAGAGAGAGAGAGAGAGAGAGAGAGAGAGAGAGAGAGAGAGAGAGAGAGAGAGAGAGAGAGAGAGAGAGAGAGAGAGATGTCGTGTAGCCATCAGCATTCTAGCATGAGGAGAATTCGATGTAGTATTCGTGTGTGCATTCACACACCATTCCGGCGCTTCTTGTCCATCTCTCATCTTCGCCTGATCTCTCTCTCTCTCTCTCTCTCTCTCTCTCTCTCTCTC